TGGCCAGCGCACTCGTTTCTGTGTGAAATTGGCCAGCCACGGTTTTGTCCGTCATTCCATGAGCCCTGGAAATTTGTTTTAGAGGCGAACTATTGTAGTGATGATTGCTTTGCCACCGATGATGTGGGGAAGGGCTTTAACCATGAGCCAGCAGACACCAGCCGATGGCTCGGGAGCCAGGAGCCAAGAGCCAGGAGCCAGGTAGGGCCAGCTAATAGACCACGCAAGCAATGCGGTGTTTGAAGGAGATGGAGGGAGGGGATGGCTGGATGGGAAGTCGACGCACATGCTGGGACTGATTGTCGTGCACTTGTGGTCACACTCGAGCATCGCCAGCTGGTGATGGGCATGGGCTAATAACCACCAACGAAGGGCCTCTAAATCGTGATTTGACTCGTCGTCCACCTTTGCCGAGGAAGGATGTCCGCGGTTTTGCAGTCTGCGGTCTGCACGCACAACCGGCCCTTTTATAATTAAAGGTCCAGCCCTTCAGTCCATCCAGCCATGTTTGTGCGGTGCCATTCGTCTTGCGAGTTGAGGGTTGAAAATTCAAGGGAAAGTGAGAGGGGAGGAGAGGGAGGAAAGAAAAGAAAAATAAAAAAAAATAAAAAGAGTAATAAATGAACACAGCCGACGCCCTACCCATCCATGGCCTTGGCCAACGCATAAGTTGGCCTTTTTGAAATGCTCAAAATGCTACCAGACCATTTCGTGGAAGCCGGGACCAGCGAACCTAATGCAAAGCCCGTGCCTGCAACCTGCTACCTGCTACCTACTAGGTACGCATGCAGGCATCCGCATGGAAGACTACTTGGAAATACAAACACAAGTTACTCTTCTTGTCACGCTCCTCTCCCCGACACAAGCAACAGGCCTTACTAGACCCAGCTTGGATGGAACGACGAACGAGACAAGCAGCGATAGAAGATTACATCCCAGGAGTTCTCCGTAGCGGGACGCCAATATCTCTGGACAGGGAACATTAAGGATTCAAGAGCCACAGTATAATCAAACTAGCCATCATCCCGGAGGCTCGATTCCAAGGCCCCAAGACACTCGTCTGGGCCAACGGCGCGTCCACAAAGCGTCCATCGACCTTGACTGGTCCATGACTTGGTGAAGGCCGACTGCGTATTAGGCCTTGTGGGTGGCGGCCGGCCGATTGCCATGCCAGGCAGCCCAAGGGACAGCGGACAAAGAGAATGGAAGGAGTAGTCAAAGTAAAACGCACACAAAGTCACACTTTATCGCGTTTGAGGCTGCCCAAAGAAACAAGGCTAAAATGCCAAAAAAAAAAATCCATTCGTGTGTGGCAGCCGCCGGGTCATCCATTGCCTGCGCAAGTTGACGGTATGATTGAAAAGGGCCATGCTGGGACTCACTCACATAACTAACCCTTCCCCCCTTCCCCGTTTCCTCCAGCCGCCACCCTTCTTTCCTCCCATTTTGAAATCTCCTTCTTCTGTCTCTCTTCGCTTTTTCGAATTGCTGCCTTGATACACCGTCTTTCTGCCTCATCGTGTGGCTCTTGTCGGCGGCGTTGCTGACAGATCTTTGTTCGTGGACTTATACGCCACTGGATGACCTCACTAAAATAGGACCGGGCACTCAGGATTGGAAATGTCGGCGCTCTCGACTTGGGGTTCAGCGCCCGCTACAAACGCCAGGGAAAAAATCACGAAGGCGGGATGAGATGGCAGAAAAACCGCGCCGGGAACGGTCTTGATGGCGAAACCCGGATTCGAATCACAGTCGACGGGCTCGTGAGGTTTTTGAGCAATGGGCGATGGGCGATGGACGAGACGGACAGACAACTCGGCCTTTGGGCCACGAGGGCCTGGGTGTGACAGGGGTGGCCTCGAGAGCTCCGAACGTTTGAGTGTCTAGCCTCGATGTTCGACGGCTGGGGCAATAGGCGCCTCGCTCAAAGGGCTGCTCCAGTGCTTGCTCCATCTGGCACGCCTGAGTACCCTGGCTTGGCAGCAGTCTGGTTCTTGTGGAGGTGCGGCATCAACGGCCTCATGTCACCACCAACAGCACACCCTAGCACAAGGCCTGCCAGACCAATTGCAGCCGCGCCGCTCTTACGCAGTGGAAGCCACCGAATAGCAAAGGAAGCAGCAGCTTGTCACCCACCTTGCTTGCACGTCACCAGCTCATATCCATTGCCTCGTCGTGCGTCCGAGCCGCAACAATCGACAAAGTGAGACGCCATCGACCTGCCATCGTCGTGTCCGCCATTCTGCCCAAGATTCGCTCACCACACCCAGTTGCATCCAGTTGCATCCAGTCACATTGTCGCAGCGATCTGCTGCAAGGAAGCTACCTGGGTTGGTGTGTTTGGTGTGGCCCCAGTGCCTTGCGCCTGTGGTGGGGCCGCGGGCGGGTGCCATTCTGTAACCATGCAGCTGGCCACGCTTCAGGCAAATATGGGATGCATGGGATGCCATGGGCTGCCATGGGGTCCAAGGAGCTCGCGAACAAACGCCTCGCATCACAATCTCAGACCCAACACTCAATCATATGTGCTGTATGCACCCCGTACAGAGCCATTGGCGAGTATATTGACACCGCCTTCGCCGAGTAGGCCCGGAGATCAAACATGCTGTTCGGCTGACATTGTGTTTACATGGCGCCTACGCTTGCTGCATCGACCAAGTGGGATTGTGTGAATGGATTGAATCAACAATTTGAAATGGGGGGCTGGTGGAATGGCAAACATGGGAGCCTCGGAATTTCTCCTTTTTTTTTTGTTCGGCGCTGCGCCATCTCTGGCGTTGACGCAAAAACTGCGAAGCCGTTGAATGGAATCAGGACACCCAAGGGACAACCGCCGTCATGACCGAACGTTTTTGCATTCGCTAAACTGCTGGACCCGCGACCGCTTTGCAGTACCCCTTGGGCGGCTGCCGTTGATGATTTCTGAAAGGCATTTCCGCTTTGCTTGGATTCAAGACCTACGGGCGGGTCGGTAGGAGCCTAGAGGATTCAAATGCAAGCAACGCCATCAATTGAGGCTCTCCGGCTATATGTCAGGCTCAACACGGCCAATATGACTCTGATTCGCCAATAACTGTGCTCGACGGGAATTCTCCCAGGGAATCGCCCTCCCAGACAGTGACACCAACAAACCAGTTAATATCATATCAACGGTTGAGATAATGGTTTTTGCGCTTGCAGGTGGCGGATCCCTTTCCTCTGCGAGGTATATAACTCGGAAACATCCATCCTCGAACGGCGACATCGAGGAAGAAAGTGCATTTAATTGGCGACGTACCACGGCTCGAGGGACTTACATCTGATATGCTCGTCTACAGCAGAAACATCGAATTGATTACTACTTGTACGTGGGTGGGGCATGATAAGATGTCTGCTAAGCTTGGGATAGCATAGGTGGCAAATCTGGTAAGAAGTACTAAGTGTTTGGCAATCAGAACTAACTACACTCGCACTTCGCTAACAAGTCTCTGTCTCTCAAGTCTGATTGGCTACGTCTGGAGTCGGAATTAAGCACAGCGCGTGATTGTCCACGCGCTAGGCCAAAGACGGACTAGGCGACCCTCCCGGAGCGAAATTTCTCATGGAACCTGAAACCAGCCAGAATGACGGGTGGAAAAAAGGCCGATACGTGTCTGGTGCAACTCAACAGGATTCTTCTCCGGGTGTCTGGTGGACTTTGACCAGACTGGCTCAAGCTCCTGGCGTCGCCCACCCACATCCGACGCTTCACTTTCGCGGCCGCCGCGCACAACTACAGCTTGCCGCCCCCCTGGCCTCGCATAACGACTGGGTGACTGAAGCATAGCTGTGAGATTACTTTCTCGGTCTCGTGACCCGCAGCATCTCCGTTCGGACGGGCTCTTGGATCCGTGTCGGCTTCCTCCGCGGACGTGAAGTGGCCTGCAACTGGACCTACGGGTCCGTACGAAATTTTCTCCCTCGGCTGCTCTGATTGCGACAGGAAATCGGCCACCGCCAACTCACGGCGCGCGACACCGCACTCATTCGCCTCGCTCCACCTTCTGCTTCCCGTCTGCTGCTTTGTTATTGACGGCCGCTTTGCTGGCTTGAACAAGGTCTCGCAGCTACACGGCGCCGCGCATCTGGATTGTACTTGCTGCCGACAGTGGTGGCCGTTCGTCCTCTTTTTTTTTTCTTGGCCTAGTTGCCGCGCCCGCGCCTCCTGGCTTCCACGGAGTAGGAGGTGGTTGGTCAAGTACTCGTGACACGCTTCAGCGCCCAAGGTACGTTGCTTTTAGCCCCTGACGCGCCTAGCCTCTCAGGTATCGGGGTACCTCGTCTGTGCTGGAGCCGGCAACATTCAAGCTGGTTAGCTCCAACTGGCACCTGGGTCAAGTGCTCCGTCCTCCCCCCCTTTTAGCCCTACAGTCTCACCTCGACTCGCTTCACCACAGCGGCCGTAGTCCATGGTCCTAGTCTCCGCTTCACTGCTCTCCTCTCGCCCCAGTCACCAGACCCAATCAGCCCTCGAGTAGCGTCGCCCGCTGCCCACTTGCACAGCCAGCAGACCTCTGGTACTGAGGGAAGTGAGGGAGGGAATCTTGCCCGAGAGCGGCGAGAGGCCCGTCCGTCGCTAAGAATTACTTTCCCCCCAAGTTCCCTGTGGCCAGCACTCCCTCAAGAAGTCTGGCGCTCAAGTGCTGCTTCCCCTGCCCGCTGCCCACTGCCCACTGCCCAGCGTCTGTCTGGTCGACAGTCTCTCACCTCGACCTGCTCGTCGGTCTCCGCCTGGCTTTTTGGCTCTGGCCTTGCGACCTGCCCCCGTCTTGCCTGCTCATTTCCCACCCGACACCACACACGCACCGCACACCACACACAATCCTCCACCAACCCGCGACGCGACTCGACCTATCCATCACCACACGCCGTGGTCGTGACACGGCCCCATCGTCATCCGTCCCTGCGCCCTTCAATGGGTTTCTGGCCGTGTGCCTGCTGATCGCTAACGTTGTTGCGCGCAGCCTGTCGGGGCCGTCGCCATGAGCGCCTGGATGAACGACGCCGTCCCCAACCACAATGGAAACGGCTTCCCTCATATGAACGACCCCAACTCTGCCGGAGCCCTGATGGATCACTCTGCCTTCATGGCCAACCCGGGTCAGTTTAACCCGGGGCAATTCCCCAACCAGCAACAGATGGCTGGGATGCAAAATGGTCCCATGCGACACGGCTCGCCGACGTACCAGAACCAGAACCAGACTGCGAACCCGAATCAGAACCCGAGTCAGAACTCCGTCTACCAAACCAACCCAATAATTCCATCAAAACGCCCTCGTCCCCGCGAAGATAGCGTCACGGGCTCGCCAGGCCATAACCCGGGCATGCAACCGCCGTCGCGTTCCGAAACGCCGCAACAACAAAACTTTGGTGGCTTCCAGCCGGCCGGTGGTGCCATGCCTCAACAAGCTCCCGGCCAATTCCCCCATCTACAGCCTAACGGCTCTGCCAATGCCAGTCCATCCCCCATCATGGGAAACCAAATGCGACCGGGAAATGTGCCTCAGCGAGTCGCTACCGCCTCACCACATCCCTTTTCGCCTGGTCCACAGCAGCAGTTCGCTGGCTCACAAGCGTCTCCGATCCCTTCTGAGCATGGCACACCGCAACCAAAACAATACATGCAAAATATGCCTCCGGGATATAATCCGGGATACGCGCAATCGCCTTCAAATCCTCGCCCATCTCCTAATCCCAATGTGATGGCTGGCGGCCCTGCTGTCGGTGGCCAAATGCTACCCCAGCAAATGGGACAAATAGCGCAGCACATGGGTCAGATGCCGCCAAACATGTATCAACAAATGCAGCAGCAGATGCAACACCAAGTCCCTCAACCAGGCCAGCAGCAACCGCCTGGCCAGCAGCAACCACAGCAGGGCCAGCCGAGACCGCAGGGTATGATTGATCAACAGAAAATGGTAGCGTATCAGATGCGTCTTCAACAACAATTACAAGGAAATATGCAAATGCAGGCCCAAATGCAGACCCAGAATATGGGTCGCGGAATGATGCCAAAGCAACAAGTGCCTGGTATGCCGAATGGTCAAATGCCCCAAGGCGCTATGAGACAGCAACCCAGGCCCATGGGAAACATCAACCCGGAACAATTCATGAAGAATCTTACGACCCTAATGAACGCGAAAGGATTACCTTTGGACCCGAACCCCGTTGTAGGTGATCGACCAGTCAATCTCGTCATGTTGTTCCAGCTTGTTCAATCCAAAGGAGGCTATAAGCCCGTGACTACAGGCAACGGTTGGGGGCTCATTGCCCAGAACCTGGGACTACCGGCGCAGATCCCGACTGTACCACCCACTCTTAAGCAAGTGTACGAGCGAAACCTGGCAAAGTTTGAGGAGGCTTGGATTGCACAGCAGAAGCATCGGATGATGCAACAGAATACAAATATGGCTGGGCCAGGAACACCGCAAAAGCAGATGCAGCCAGGACAACAGATGAACCAAGGGCAGATGCCACAGGTACAACAACAACAGCAGCAGCCTCCTCACTTGCAACAACAGACTCCGATGAAGCCTGGTCAGACTTCAGTTAATGGGTTTTCGACTCCTCAACCGTCCCAACAACAACTACCTTCCCAGCAGCCACAATTACCGCCGCATGTGCAGCAGCAGCAGCAGCAGCAACAGCAACAACCTCCTCTCCAGCAGCAGCCACCGCCGCTGCAACAACCACCGCAACACCCACCAAACTCCAATGCCGCACCGGGACACAGGAATAGTATGTCCCGAGGCGTGGATGCCTCTACGCCCAACGACTTCTCCATGCAATCGCCTTCGCATGCTCGACCTGGTAGTGTCTCTGTCGATGGCCGACAAGCAACGCCGCTGCCTGCTGTTGGTGCTGAGCAACATATGCCTCGCATGCCTCCAAAGCCTGACGATTACAGCCCATGTGCAAGGGAACTTTCGACGCATGGTGGGGTTGACCTTCATGCTGCCAATCTTCTCGGTGCCGAGTTGGAACGATGGGAGCCGACTGTTCCTTCTGTAAACGAGCTGGGAAACATTGACATATCCGCCCTTACCCGTAGTCTGCAATGCGGTATTCACGGTGAAGTGCGCCTAGCTCTCGACACACTTGCTACGATCTCATCGTCACCAAACCAAGCTCACTTTCTACATCTCAGAGCTTGTGATGACCTGGTTGAGGCTTTGGTAGATTGTGCGGAATCTCAAGTAGACCTGCTTGTTGAACATACGACGGAGGTTGCTGATGAGATTCAACTTACTTCTTATGAGGACGTTGTTAGAGCATGCCGAATAGAGCGATGGGCTGTGAGAGATGTACCTGCTTTTGGCACCATCGAGTACCAACTTGATCGAGCCGTGGAGCGACTTATTTGCATAACAACAATTTTGCGAAATGTATCATTTCCTGGCGAAAATAACGACAACCACAACATGCTTTGCGAAGAATCTGTCATCAAGATGCTTTGCTCTATTATTCGGTATCTCGGAACGCGGACAATGCTTCTTCGGACACACGCCAATACCCTTGATTTTATGAAAGACATTGTGGTTCTTCTCTCCAACATCTCAAGCCAATTGGAGATTCCTGGTCGAGAGCAGGCTTTGAGCCTGTTGCAGTTTCTACTCGCGTTTGCTCCTGTTCCAGGTCCAACAATGGCCAGCGACACGCTTAACTTCACGCCTTATGACCCCAGTATTCATTCGTATCTCCCACATGCGGTTGATGCCCTGGCCAAGTTGCTTGCTCGTGACGAACCAAATAGAGGCTTTTACAAGGCGCTTTTTACGGTTGATTCTTCATCACCGCTAGCTAACGAGCTTCTCGTCCGGACTTTTGCCTTGGCTATAGCCCCCTTACCAGACAGGGCAAAAGAGCACTTACGACCACCCACATTCCCGCCGCTATTCGAAACAAGAAAACCGTTTCTAATGCAGGGCCTTTTGGGTGCAGAAATCATAGCTTCTCTTCTGCCAGGATCCGAACCGGGAACGGCTCGAGCCCTTCTTGCGTCAGGCAACTGCCTTGCACAGAACCTTGTTCAGCTGATTCAGGATCTCTGCTTCTTGTACGAAAAGCCACCGCCTCCTGTTCGTGGCGGTAGCCGGGCAGTAGCGGCTAGAAAAGACCCCGAGCTTGTTTATATTGTCATTGTTGCCGTCTCACTTCTGCGTCGTCTTGCCGAAAAGGCAAGAGATTCTTCAGGTACCGAATCTGCAGGTATCGGGGATCTACTGCCGCAACCGCAGATGTTGATGGATGCCCTGATGATGCAATCTCCCGAATGGACGAAAGAGGGGTTACTGCTACAGTTAACGGCAGTGCTTAATTTGGATGGATGAGCTGACGCAATGTCGTAGCCACGACATTTGATATCGACATGACTGCTTTATTTTGTACTGCGGTTTTTGAAGAGGTGAGGTTCTCTTCTGGACAGGTCTCCTCCAGCGAATATAAAAATGATGCGTGAAAGTTCGAGGCACGGGATATATTTTTTGGTCCGCCCTTTACTATTATTGTTTTTTTTACTGGTCTTTTTGTCAACTCTTTGACGGTGTATCAGATGACGGCGCATAGCTAGATTTGCATGGAGATGCGAACTTGATTTGGAAAGGCAATGCTTTGGGGTATATCCTGTAGGGACAGTTGTACATAGGTATAGGCGTGTGAGACATAAACTGATACCACATAACTCTTCAAAACGCTCTGTAGTTTTTCATTGCTCTATTATACAGTTTGGTTTGATTATCAGTTATGCTGTGACAGTACCAATACAATGATGAAATGTGACGGAGAGTCGTTCACACTATCCAAGCTACTTATATATATCCCTCCGCGTCTCTCCTGTCTCGTCCTCAGAATCCATGCTCTAATAGCCAAGACTTGGTCTTTTCGTAATAATCACCCTAAAGTCCTGTTAGCAAGCCCTCTGTCCACGGGGTCAACTAGAAATAGACATAGGGAAATCACTCATGAGAGATACTTTTGGGCACGTACCTTCAGCTCGATATGCTGTGTCGTCGGATTTAGCCTGATATCTTGCTTGCTCACTCCAAGTGAGTCTACCAAGTCTTCTAGCAGTTTCTTCCGGTCACCGTCCACCTTTTTTATTAACACCACTTGGCGGTTTCCTCCTGACATGAATCGTCTGTATACTGGAAGCTGTATTGAAGGTGTGCGACGAACGATGTAGGCAGCACCAGCCAGCTCTTCTGGTGATTTCGTTGGAGGAGGCGTGGGAGCGCGACTCATGGGTGTGTAGCTGTGAGCGGGTTTAGTGGCGGCGGTGGTGAGGGATCGTGATGATTGTGACCAGGAGGCGAACCGGCAAGTTGGAAGGTTGGATAAAGGGATGACCGCGGTCCTGTAGATGCTAGATTGAAGGAGATAGTTTGGCCCTCTGCATAGGGCTCGAGAAACGTGTTGGTACATCGTGGGGTGCAGAAAATGCCCAACAAGAGATTTGAATCTCTCGTTGATACAGAGGCTGACAGTTTGCCAATAAGGTAGTCGTACTTTGACGCTAACAAAAGGGTTAAGTACTGTATACAAGAAGTAGCTTGAAAGAAATAAAACAGGGAACAAAACCTAGTCCCCGATGGCCAATTGATCACAAATGACGGGTCAAAACCGTGAATCACTCCGCAAGAGGGTGCTTTCATGCAGGCCCGACGTGAAGCTGTCCCAAAAATCCCAGGGTCACATGACGAGAGCGCGAGCCGGGCCGGCAAAACCCCGGGTGTGCAGGGACAGCCCCCCACACCACTTTGTGTATTGGCGAAATTCACCAAAAATCTGCCCCTCCACTGGATTTGCGTGTGGGCGAGTTGCGTCTTTACCACCCTTGCCAACGAACGAGCGATTCGTGGTCTTTTGGAGCACAAAAAGAGCCTCTTGTCTTTTGCCGAAACTAATTAGGAGGTTTAGCTCTCAAGCGAACTGAAAAAAAAAATTAACGGGCTAGACCAAATTTCGCGATGGAGGATATTCTGACGGCCGTCTCGGCCGATGGTTCATCGATTATGCCCAAGTTGGCACCGCATCTTAGCAGACACCTGCTGTTCCCACTCATTCAGTTCGAGGGCGACCAGGCCGAGGAGAAGGGCGAAGATGAAAAGGCTAAGAGGATCCTGTCGGGGAAAATCAAGCTACTGGAGGACACCAATATGACGGACTACGTTGCGACTCTGTACTGCGAATTGCATGGCGTTTCTGACCCGCCCGCCGAATACACCAAGAAGCGACAGGATGTTTTGGCACAGCTGGAGAAATATGAGCAGGCTACTGCCAAGATTGCGGACCTTTTGACGCAGGATGAGGTTGTGAATGGTCTTCGAAGCGACAAGGTTGCCAACTTGGAGTTTCTGAAGAACCAGCATGGAGTGAGTTGGCACCCTGATTGCCTGCGAAATTTGTTTAAAAGAGAGAAAATAGAGGTTGCTAACGGTCCTGGAGGTTACGATGGAAATGGTCAACGCCCTCTATGACTTTGGACAGTTCCAATTTCGGTGTGGTCAGTATGGCCCTGCCGCTGATATGCTGTACCAGTTCCGCGTCCTCTCCACCGACAACGACAAGGTCTCCGCCTCAACCTGGGGCAAGCTCGCTTCTGAGATTCTCTCTACAAACTGGGAGTCAGCTGTCGATGAGCTCAAGAACGTCAAGGAGGGCATCGACTCGAAGCTCTTCAACAACCCACGCGCCCAGCTCGACCACCGAACCATGCTGGTCCACTGGTCTCTCTTCCCCCTGTTCAACTGGGAGGGCGCCCGCGAGCCCATCCTCGACATGTTCTTCTCCGCGGCCTACATCAACACCATCCAGACCTCCTGCCCGTGGATCCTGCGGTACCTGATCGCCGCCGTAATCACCGGCCGCACCCGCGCGCGAAACAGCTCTACCCAGCAGAAGCAGCTCAAGGACATTGTCCGCTACGTGCGCCAGGAGGCCTACGAGTACGCCGACCCCATCACCCAGTTCGTCAACGCCCTCTACATTGCCCATGACTTTAACGCCGCCCGCGAGGCCCTCCGCCAGGCCGAGCAAGTCTGCCGCAGCGACTTCTTCCTCGCCTCTTCTGCCGACGCCTTTGTCAACGCCGCCCGCCACCTCATCTGCGAGAGCTACTGCAAGATCTTTAGCCGCATGAATATCCGCGACCTGAGCGCCAAGCTAGGCCTCAACCCCGACGAGGGGGAGAAGTGGATCGTCAATCTGATCCGGGAGACGAGACTCGATGCCAAGATTGACAGCCAGGACGGCACCGTCATCATGAACCACCCTCCCAACAATGTCTACCAGCAAGTCATTGAGAAGACCAAAGGTGGATTCTTCAGAACGCAGGTCCTCAATGCCGCCGTCTCCAAGTAAACGACATCTACCAGACTGCGACATGAAAGGCAGAAAAACTGCCCACTCCAAGAAAGTTTATACAGGCATGCCGTCGGGAGAAGTAAACCGTCTAGAAAAGAGACTGCAATTTTCTTCTCTCTCAACATCCAGGCTTCTTAGATGAAGGGGACACCTGGGCAGGCATGTAAAAGGTGCACCAAAAAAAGACGAACTAGAGCAATTAGACGCGGAAGCTCTCTTTGACGATCTTCACGAAGAAAAGGGAGGGTTGGCTCAATATTTTCAACGGAGAATGGAAGGAGTGTGTGAGAGATGAAACGGCCCTGTTTTTATATCATGTTTATCCCCTTGCCTTCCCCCACCCCCTTGGTGATGCGGTTTGCATTGCATGGCGTTATTTATTTTTCGGATATTCTGGACGAATGGGTTCCGGGGCAAGGGGTAAGTAGTCGAGGACAATGGAACCAATGCGTGTTTTGATGGGTGGGAAATTTAAAAAAAGTGAAGAGAAATAAACATGATTTGTTGAAACTACTGCTTCCCCCCTTTCACAATTGTGACGTGATTTGTGACAAATGGACTTGGATCCTGATCAGCCTTGTGGTGTATCTTTTCTTATTCTGACACTAGGGCTATATTACTAGGCATGAATGTACTTTTTACCTACACCTCATCAAACTCGTTAACTCATTGAACATGCCCTCTTTATCCGAAAGCCGGCTTGACAGCCATGTATCTACGCCGAAGCCTTTCCAGTTTGTACCGCTGCCGATCGCGCTGATATTCCTAAACATCTCCGTCTCGTACAGCTAGCCAGACCTGGCCTTTCAATGCTTCGATTGCACTGTCCCGCATCCACCATACGTCACCACCTGGAGCATGGGGCGTGACGTGTTCTCCCATCGTCTCTTGAGAGTCGCTAGGTTTGATAGTAGCTTGGCTATCTTGAGCGCTGGGAACGGCAGATTTAAGGAGCCTTTCTCGAGCGGCTCCCCATTCGAAGAGAAGCCTTGCACCCTCCAGACGTTCTCGGTCACCGCCCTGCGCGATACCTCTCTCCATCTCCATCCGAGCATCTACGGCAGACCCCGCGTCTTGTTCCTTCTCGTTGCTCTCCATGAGGGCTGCGCGCTCTGCGTAGCTTACGCTTCGGAGTTTGCCCAAACCAAAGATCCACTCGAGTGGGTTGTTTCCCTTGCCGTCGCTGCCCAAAGTTCGCAGCGTGGATGTAAAAGCCCCTTCAGATGGTGGGCGTCGCTGTAGGTATATGCTCTGCGTCTGAGCAAACGCTTGTCTTAGCTCGTCGTTGGAAAAGTCGAGTTCAATGTCCCAGAATCGGGGTCCGCAAGACGTCGATAGACTAGAAATCTGATCTAGGGGCGGTAGGAGGCAAGGTGTTGTACGATATAGAATATGCTCAGAGGAAGAATCTTGCTTCTTCTTGATCTGCACAGACACGGATACTGGCTGCCCAGTCAGGACATCCTTCGCAACCAAGCAACGCTGCTCCGTCGCCAAAACCCAAAAGTGGCGGAGGGCTTGGAGATGCGATCTATTGTCCATAACGTTGGATGGGAAGATAGGATAAAACGATATTAACAAGGCGGCAATTGCCTTGTTGCTGGAACCAAATGTCACCGTCCCGCACCCTAGAAAAAGTGATCCGATGGCTAAGTGAGCAGCGAGATGCGATCCATATGGGATATCCGGGTTATCCCTGCCGTGTAGAGAGCGCAGCCGTCTCAGGACCAAGATGTCGCCAGTGCCTGCCATGACAATGGAACAAGACAAGGCGAGAATGTCCTGGCACATTCTAGCATTTGACCTTGCGAGTTCTTCATCATACAAGGGTGCAGCATCTGAATGAGGCCGTGGGGTAGCTTCGATGTTCGAGATGCGAATAAATTGATCAAGGTAGTGTAGCAGCAGATCGCGAGCCCTGGTGGAAGCACTCCCCGAAAATCGAAGGGCAATTGAAAAGCAAATTCCAGTCAGTATACTAAAGAATGGAAGATCTGTCGAGCGCAGCTTGGTCGTGCCTTGCAACTTGTGTCGGGCGCGATATGGAAGAGGGAGGCTATCGCGGACCCATGCAAGTGTAGGCTCGATTTTGGACCATAGAATAAGATTCTTGGCCACGGTGCGGAGGAGCAGGATATCCGGCCGCACATAATCGAACTGTAAAACAGAGTCTGGAACATCAATCTTTCGGGCCACAATTTGATCTTCAGACTTCATAAATATGAGGGCGATGGCCACAACAGCGCCAGCGGAAGCTCTATCAAGAATGTGAACAATCTCAACATTCTTGGTCGCCGTGGCGTGAGCAATAAGCTTCTCCGTGAGCTTCATGTCTTGGAGACCCTTCAGATCCCCACCCTTGCCCAAGTTGATGAGCCCTAACGCGAAGCCAGCAGCAAGGCGATAGCATTCGCTCCTCAGAGGCTCCTCTTCGTCCTCTTCGTCAATGTGCTCTATCTCCGAGAGCATTATTTCACTCATTCGTCGGTGCTGGCTATTGCAGTACAGAAGGCCAATGCCCATAATCCCAGATGTTTGTGTGAGAGGGGATAAATTCAGCTCTGCAGCGCCGCGAGGGAGCATACGCGTTGCATGGACCGACAGTAATCGTGTGATGAGAGAGTCCATAGTGCCCATGTAGGATGCCGCCAAACCCAGAAGCAATCCAATAGATGTCATTGTGTGTTTGGGCGTCAGATATTTGAATGCGACCCATTTGGCCACTCCCTTCAGATGTCCATTCAAACCAAGGGCCAAGAGAAAGCCGGCGTGCCTATTACTTAGCTCCTGTGCCGGTTTATTGTACAAGATCCAAGAAGTATCGATCCCTTTGGCCTGGGGCGAGATTGCTAAACCCGCAGCAACGCCTTGGTGGAAGAACCCCCAGCAAACCTTCTCCTCGGTGAATAGTGATTTGTCAACCCCGACAGTGACATTGGTTGGCTTGACTATACAATTCAAGTTGAAGCCGCCAATGTGAAACTTTTGAGTTATGAGAGGGAATCGTAAACTATAATATAACAGTGCGCGACCCGCTGGGATTGCCAGTGTACCCATTGCTATTCTTGAAACAAGTTCTTTCTGTTTCTCCAAGTATTCGCTCTCCGGCCAACTAGGATCAGGATTCAGACGAACCACCCTGGCCTTGTGAGTTGACAACAGATCTTGGGCTTCGTTGAGACGGCGGTCGTCCTTGAAAAGCGCTCGTATCACCGCCTGACGTTCTGTACCTTCACCTTCATCATAGCCCGTGTTGTTTGCCTCTTCTACGGACTGACATAGCATTTTGAAATCCCACGCAGCCATATGGGTTGGTGCCAAAATGTTCGCCACGGGTTGTCGAGGTCGTCTACTCGGCTTGACGATGAGGCTAATGTCGCTCCTTCTTACTAGATCCAGGAGATGATGAGGCCACTGCGAAGGTGGATGTGGCTGGCATAAGGATATCGCATCTTGAAGAGGTGCTAATACAGCTTCAGGGAGTGTTTCAAGGATAAAGTTCGTAAAGCCACAGTCCTGCATAGCCTCAACCATCTCAACAGCTGTCGACTTTGGCCTGATTATCTTGAAGAAGCGTTTGAACATCAGTGTTCGGGTAGTAATAGCGTCCCATCTCTTATCCTGTAATTTTTCAGCCTCGGAGACTCGTGAGCTGGCATAGTATATGTCGGCAGGCGTCATGCAAGGCTTTCCACGAACTCCGGATAGTCGGGATTGAATCCATTCAAAAATGTCAGGTCGAACTGGAGGTTGTGGTATTGCTGGTCTCAAATTGAGTTCTGATAAAGTGTTTGTATTAGTCCCCAAGGCTACCGCGAAATCGGCTGTCACTTACCCGAATCATGGCGCGAATCGACATCCTCCTGTATACCTAGCTCGTAAATCGTGACGAAAGATTGCCATTTGAGCCATCTAGCGAGTTGGCAAAGCAATACTCTTAGGTCGGTTCTGCCTGGAGAGACATATTCAGGTGTTGTGATATCTAGTTTCTGTTCGTCAAGGAGGAGATGGAGTGCCATAAAGATGTCCACAGCTACCTGACGTCTGGTAGCAGACGACCTGGCAAGAGACACGGGCATATATCCTTGGCGACCCATGGCTGCCTCACCTAGGGGAGAGCTGAGGTATTCCTTCGACAAGGCAATGTGGCGCGTAAGAAATTTAGGGCTAAGGAGAGCGTCGCTTTGGGCCGAGGCATTATCGGCTGGCTCTTCTTCCAAGGCCCATTGCCAACCCTGATTCATCATCCACACCGGGCAGCCCAGCGAATTTGTAGTTTCTCCCAGTTCTAAAGCTCTCCAGTCCTCTGACTCTCGAATAGCACCAAAAGATCCAGACACAGGCCTTCTTTTTCGAACAGCTAACTGAGCCGCTTTTAACGGAGAGTTATCTTCACGACCAAGATTAAGAAAAGAACTTAGAAGGAGAACTGATGTTGCAGACCACTCGACATTAGGTAGATTATCCTGGTGATTCTGTAGCCATTGTGCCACATGAAGCCAGCATGCATGAAGGCGGCCGCCAAGAGCATCTGGCAGCACACTTTTGCAAATGTTTAGGACTTTTTTGACTTGTGGGCAACTTGGCTGAAGCTGGATTCCGAGTTGATGAAGCCGACCACGCGTGTCAACTACATCAACGATACCGCAATTCCGCGGATGACGAATGCCAACTATTCCTCCACTTGATAGGTCCATGACCTCCGACTTTCGTTGCTTGACATCTCTATCGGCAACTCTTCCCCGATATTGGATGTTTCTGGTATCATCGACGAACAGCAGGGAAAGCGGTATTTTCGTCAATTCAATCCAAGGGGCCTGAGCGGTCAATTCATGGTGCCCCTCGTCGGAATCGGAAAGAACTAGGATCACGGATAAGTCCCCATCAACGAGTTTGGATGAGTCCACGACGCTTTGAACCTTCCACTGTGTTCCAGATGATATCGAGACGATTGAGTACCTGGACCGGTCCTTTCCGGATGTGGTGGTAGCAAGATCTGGCTTTTCCTGAGCTTTAACATGCAACGTCATCATCTGAAGCCGCTTCTCTAGGGGCTCCTGGATGCCTATGAGCAATTGGGTACGTCCTTGCTCATCTACAACGAAGGGCGGAGCCGTGACAATGAACACTTTGGTTTGACATCTCGCAGGCAGAGTCGAGGTTGAATATCGGACATTGGAGCTATCTAGAGCGATAGTTTGAATCTTGGTGAACCGAATCTCACTCTGTAATCCATCGAAATCATGGTCATCAAGCCCCATGTTGTGCAAACCTTCATCCAATGCCGCGTCGAGCGGAGCCTCAAGCAAGCTCCCTAGACTGGGATGAATGAGATGGAAACTGGAGCTGGAGCGTCCGTGGTGGCCGTTATGTTCGATTCTCTTGGAGGCTCCCGTGTTGGAAGTGAGAGGCTGGTCAGCAAAAACTGATCTTTCATGCGAAGCGGACAGGTCTGCTCGCGCAAGCATGGAGCTTAAACGACGAGAGCTTCTTCGGGTGATACCAGCTCCTTCGTTATCTTGTTGCTCGAGAGAGGACACCAAATCCAACGGCTTCTCAACTTTTTCGCTCTTCCGTTGACGCTTACCTGGGAGGGGCGCACCAAAGCTCTCCCGAAAATTCTGTTGGACTGGTGTCGAAGTTCCGCTTGTGAAGCCTTGAGGTGGCATCGAGCTCCTGCGTCTGGCAGTCTTATTTTTTGCCTTCTTCTGCTGTCCAATAAATGGATCTTCATGCTCGAGATACTTCAAGCGCCAAACAGTGTAGGAACCGTTTTCTCTATTCATAGTAACGGCTAGTATTAAGGGGGTATCAAAGGCTCTGCAATCACTTCCTGGCAAGTTGATTTGTTCTATGTGAAGGATTTCCTCGGCCGGATCAAGAAAGGCCGGCTTTGTGGACTTGTTCTGGCGTGCGGGACGGCGGCTGTGAGGTTCAGGCTCAGCAACAACCAGCCCAATATCAGACAACGGATCCATGAGCGAGACAAGGCGTGGCCAGTGCGATAACTGTTGCTGCTCTGAAGGCATGTCCCACATAGTTTCCAGCGTGGAACTTAGGCCAAAATATAGAGATTTAGGCTTCCCCAACCCTTCAACCGAGAAGGCAGTCTGCTGTGAGCTGTTGAGTGCCGTCAGCTGTGATGATACAAAGGAGTTTGGAGGAACTCGTGGAAATTTGAGCGCAATTGGGGCGAGATTCTCCGCCTTGTGCTTTCTCTGAATGACAACTCCAATAGGCCCTGCGCAAGCGGATTCGACTTCAAATGGCATGTGGATGATGTGGCTGGTGCCCGAGAGAAAGAAGACATGTGCCTGCGTCTTGAGGAATACGACCAATGCCTTCTCCAATTTTGGCGCGGCGGGAGCTGCTGCTTTGGTTGGAGTGCCATTGTTATGATTCCCAATGTGAAGGGCATCCTCGGAAGTCGCAAAGTACGCCAAAAGGGCTTGTGTAACGGGTTCTTTCTCGTGTCCAAATTTGAAGGTTTTTCTGAATATGCCCCCTCGGCACCAGACGACACAATTTCCGGTGGTCAAGAGCTCGTCCTCCTGTGCCTCGTCGCCCTTTTCATCCGAAGTAATTTCCCAGTTGTATGCTGAAGGAGGCGGATTTTGAGGAAGCAATTGTTCTTCGATGGCATGACGCAGCCCTGACGGGTGATGCAGGCCTAGGGACCTTACCGACGCCATGATGATAAGGTTGGAGGAGATCCATGGGCGAGCCAAGGGCGGACAAACGACAGAAAGCAGTTAGTTGGACTGCGCAAGAAGCTCCGTAGGCCCATGTATTTGGCCCGCCTTGGAACTGTGCACACGCTTGGCGATAAATTGGCCCTTCCCGAACCTCAGAGTCGTCCAATGTCGTCAAGCGCTGGTGGCCAGGCCAGGCCAGCATGGGATCGCGTTTGGACGCGTTGAGTGTGATAAGATAAGAAGAACCTAAATGATAGCCCTGGCTGGATCTACAGAGTACCCGACTAGTACGAAGTTTACTCAAGGATGCACGAAGGGCACTGAGTTTGTGGGGGGACTGCGGCATGCTAGGCGCTGGTTTTTAGCGGTTGACTCAGGCACTACAGTGCGCCTGCATGTGGGCAGCGGTAGGAGCCGGCACCTGAGCTAGCACCCAGGTTCATGCCTAGTTCCATGTCGTCCTCAGCCCAACCATACAAACTTGGCGTTCCAGATGCGGCATGAGCTCGTGACGTCGTTGCAGGATACAGCTGCTTCAATAGTCCAGACACACCGACCAACTGCTCCCCGTTGCACAACACCATTGCTCTCCCGGCGACATCTGGAGCTTGGCAGAACTTCCCTGTCGCAACCACACTTCTTATCCGTAGGAATTGCCTTTGTTTAGCTCTCTCTCAAGCTCTACAAGGACGGACGATGACTGCGAAGCTGTCGATACAATGACAGACCAGTCCGACCGAGCTGCTGGAAGGCTGGGACCCGAACCACAGGACACTCCCGGCACTGCGCCCGACGATAAAGCTGTTAACGACCCGGCGGCTCTTGTAGCCGATGGTCGTGGTGGGCTCGTAAGCGTAGAGGGAAATGAGCCATGCGCCGCTTCCGCTGGCCAAGGATGTGGAGATGACGACAATGAAGGGGAGCAACCAGAAGATGGAGGTGGAGAAGAAGAAGACGACGACGACGAAGAAGAAGATGATGATGACGATGACGATGATGAGGATGACGAAGACGAAGAAGATGAAGAGCCGCGTCTCAAATATGCTCGCCTGACCCAGAGCTTGAGTGGCTTGTATCGTAATGGCGATGCGACAAGCGCATTTCTCGTCGGAGGAGACAAAATGGTACGACTGTTCCTTTGTTCGCATCCATGATCGCCTCATTCCACTGTACTAACTTTGACATAGATTATTGGGACTCACAACGGTAATATCGTATGCTTGCTCTTCAAACTCGTTGCAACAAAGGCCATCACTAACGCTAGCCCCAGAATGTCATTCAACTGGCTAATTTACAGCCTCTTCGAATCTACCACGCGCACTCTGCATCCGTTACCAGCATCTCGATATCTCCATACCCACCTCCGCTGCCACACGACCGTATAGAAACCCCAGCACGGCCTCAGCAGCCCCAACTCCAACCAAGTCCGCGGCCAGATACGTCTCCCGCCGGGGCGTCTAGGAGACCAAAAGAACCAGCACAGGTGCCAAGAATACCCTCTAACGATATCTACATATCCACCTCATCTATGGATGGCAACGTATGTGTTCAGTCGCTTCTAGACATGAAGGACGTTCACCTACGAAACTTTGCCCGACCCGTCCAAGCCGTTGCGCTGTCTCCAGAGTTCAAATCTGACCGTACATATCTATCCGGTGGTTTGGCTGGCCAACTCATCCTGACGGTAGGCGGTGGCCAAGGGAGAAGTACTTCCACAACGACCGGAACGGCTGTCGCAGCTGCATCTGGCTGGCTAGGCACCATGGGCTTAGGGGCAAACACTGGCAAAGACACGGTTCTGCATTCGGGAGAAGGTACTATAAGCAGCATTAAATGGTCACTTTCTGGAAAGTATGTGGCTTGGTTAAACGAATTTGGAATCAAGTTTATGCGCTCTAAGCTTCACCTTGAAAGTGCCGAAGCCGAGGGAGCATGGCATCGCATTGGACACTGTGATCGACCACAAACAGACGAGTGGGATACCATGGCGAGCGTGTGGAAAGGTCGACTAGAATGGATCGATGAGCAAGCCATTGAGACTGGTGAGTCTCGGTCTTCGGGAGACGGTACTGTCAACCTCGTAACCCCGACTTCGAAAAAGACTGTTGAAAGGCTCCTTGTCGGCTGGGGCTCGACTATCTGGATTATTCATGTCCATCACGGGGCTAGTAGTGGTGGAAGACACGGTCGCGATAAGCCGTTTGGTCGAGCAGAAGTTGCCAAGATGTAAGTATTTCCGAAACCCTAATGACGGGTGATTGGCCACCTCTCTAACAAAATGAAAGCCTGCGGATGGACTGCATTATTTCAGGAATCTCCCTATACACTCAGAGTACTTTGCTTGTTCTTGCATTCTGCCCAACAGACGAAGAAGATGATGATGATGAAACACCGGAGAAGGCAGCTCGGGGCCACAAATCAAAGATATCAGCGGGGTCTGCAGGAAGTGAACCGTCTGGAGGCATACGACGTCGCCAAAACAACCAACCTCCCGAGTTAAGGCTTATCGATCTTGATTCTCAGATGGAAGTAGATAAAGACCGACTTGGCGTAAGCAGATTTGAGCGACTCGGCCCGGCAGACTATCACCTCGGTCTTCTTCCAGCTCAAGCAGCAGCCACCGCAGTCGCATCTAGAGGCGCATTAGAAGCCCTTGCCGGTTTCGGCAACGATATGTGGAATGCTGCAATTAATCCAAAGTCGCTCTTTAGTTCTGGTGCTAGTATAATAAGCAAGGATAGCGGAGACGATGCCGCCTCCGTCTCGAAGACCCTCAGTGCGACAGGAACACTTCGAAGGGGGCAGGTCAAGGGCTCAGGCCCTGTCACTGTCCACCCAAGTTTGACCAAGCCGGGCATCAAGATATTCATACACAGTCCGTATGACTGTATTCTTGGTACCAAAAGAGATCTGGCGGACCACTTGGCCTGGCTCGTTGAGCACGAACAGTTCCAACTGGCATGGGAGCTGTTAGATGAGAATCCCGAAATTATCGCGACAACACCAGAGAGGCCCGGTGACGTACCACCAGCAACTCCATCAAAAGGCCAGGCCGCTGCAGACGAGTTCTTCGATGGTGACTCGGTCGTGGAGTCCACCCAGCAGGACATTCAGTCCCACTCCGTTGGGGAGAAGAGACGCATTGGAGAATTATGGATTCAACAGCTAATAGAGAACGGCAGCTGGCGACGAGCAGGAGAGGTTTGCGCCAAAGTGCTTGCTACTCCAGGCAGGTGGGAGAAATGGGTGTGGACATTTGTAGGCGCCAAACACTTTGACGAAATTACGCCATATATTCCATCACAGCCAATGCACCCCCCTCTCCCGACCACAATATACGAGGTAGTTCTCGGACATTACATCCAGAACGATAAACCTCGATTTCGAGAACTGTTGGATCAATGGTCGACAGACTTGTTTGACGTCAGAGCCATCACCACAGCTTTGGAAAACCAACTCAAATTTAGGGATGTGCAAGAGGATAGCATCGAAGACGGAGAGAAGGGCAGGGACTGGCTGATTGTGATGGAAAGCCTGGCGCGGCTTTACGAAGCTGGGGGGCGACACCGGGAGGCCTTGAAGTTTTACATCAAGCTTCACGACGCTGACTCAGTTTTCCGTCTGATTCGTGACCGCCATCTCGTCGAGGCCGTTGCTGATGATATTCCGGGTTTCATTGGCTTGAGAGTATCTCTGGAAAGAATGAAGCAAATGACCGAACAAGACCTTGTCGAAGCAACTTCGGAAGCCATCACCTTGCTTGTAGACGAGGCGCAGCATGGACTCGTTCGTCCTGATGTCGTTGTCGAGCAGCTGGAGGCTAAAAAGCTGTATTTATACCTCTTTTTTTACCTCAGAGGCCTGTGGAGAGGACAGGGCATCAGAGAGCACTCTGCTGAGAATATTGATCGACTAGTTATGGATAGTCAATCCTTGGTGGACGGCTATGCCGACTTGGCAGTCCACTTGTTTGCAACGTACGATAGACCACTCTTGATGGAGTTTCTCAAATCATCGACGTCCTATACTTTTGACAAGGTAAGTCGAGGACTTGCGGCGGGTTATTCTAGCTGAGAGATGGCTGACGAGATGCAGGCTGTGCAAGAATGCGAGGCATGTTCATATCATGATGAACTGGTGTATCTATACTCCAAGACGGGCCAAATGAAACGGGCTCTGCACCTTATTATCGATCGTCTGAAGAACGTGCAGAAAGCGATCGAGTTTGCGAAAGAGCAGGACGATCCAGACCTGTGGAATGACCTTCTTGATTATAGTATGGACAAGCCAAGTTTCATTCGCGCCTTGCTGGAGCAGGTCGGCACTGCCATAAACCCCATTACGTTGGTGAGAAGAATACCTGAGGGCCTTGAGATTCAGGGTCTCAGAGAAGGCCTGACACACATGATGAAGGAACATGAGCTGCAGCACAGCATTAGCTCAGGGGTGGCCCAGGTTTTACGAAGCGAGCTTGCTGCAGCACAAAATGACTTGAGGTCGGGCCAACAAAAGGGAATCAAATTTGAGGTGGTACAGCCAGGCACTGGCAAATCTCCAAATATCTCCAGCAAAGGCCAGGCTGGGACGGACAAAGGTGTTGGTGGCAAGTCAGATAATGGGACTCTGCAACACCACCATACGGCACCACAACCTGGACGCTGTGCGAGCTGCCACAAGCCATTCACCGAGTTCGAGATGGAGACAATACTTGGATTTGCTTGCGGTCATGTGTTTCATGTCAGCCACTTGCTCGAACTTCTTCACAGAGGGAAAAACGCGGACACTGATCTCGGTGGAGCAGGCAGTGAGAACGGGCGGTACTCCATCGGCATGAAGGTTATGAGAGCCAGACTTTTACGCGACAAGGTTAGAGAGGGCTGCCCGATTTGTCATTGAGCGCACATATCCATTGCGAAGGGTGCCACGGGTAACATGCTGTGAAGTACTCTCGACCTGGGTTTCTTCTTTTCGTTTGTTTTCTATTCTTTCCTCCTTTTTTTTTTTTTTTTGGGGGAAAATACTGTCC